ATCATCATCATCATCATCATCATCATCATCCTGTCTGCTGACAATCAAACTTTTCTATCTAGTTATCCTTGCCCATGTGCACCCTGCTAAAATCTCATGATAATGACTAAGCGTTTAAACAGCCTACCTAGACATCCTGTCTCCACTAAACATTTCTAATACAACAAATACCTAACCAATATCTATCTGACTAAAAAATACCTAACAGCAGCCACGGTTTTGTTACTGTTGTATACCCAGGGGGGTATACTGTATATTGTTGCAAATTAATTATCCATTATTGAGAAAAATAAAAAGTATCTAAACGAATAATACACACAAACAAATACAGCTTGAACGCTGGTAGAAAAAGCGAGGCAACCTGCACGGACAAACGTCCGTAGCTAACGTCAAGCCGCTGGAATTAACTTTAGCTAAGCCTGCTAATTAGCTAGCTCTCCAAGTTACCTAGGGTACGAGCTTGCAGGTCAAGTACAGTGTCGCTGGTATTTTCAGAGCTTCTCTGATCATGGCAAAACGCACATTCATCCTTGTTCCAGAGTTTTCTTACCGTTACGTACACGAGCCAGTCCGTAAAATCCGAAAGCTTGTGCTGCTTGCTTACACAGAAATCCGTTGTCATGGCACTGACGCTCCGTGAAGAAGCCGGGCAGCTGTGCGCAGGAACGGAAATATATAGGGTCATGGGAAATTGATGACTACAGACCAGGGCGCCGTTTATTTCTTGGAGAAACTATATATTAGGAAGAATATATTCTCAAATAAATATATCAGAATATCATACGAAATGTTACTCTAACTGATCTTTCTGAGCTTTTCGATATGGAGAACTTAATTAATATATATTCTAGTTAAATAGTGATACATGTTGTTGGTACCCTAATAATAATGTAAAATGTAATCAGTGGGTAATAAAAACGTTTCCTTCAGAATTTTGCATCGAATCTATCCAAGAAAAGAAATATGCTAACGGGTTAGATTCGACAGGGCCTACGGAAATGTTGTGTGAGTAGATCCGTTTTACCTTTTTTTACCACTTTTAGGCTATTAGTGGGAAAATTCCACATTCATAAGGAGAAACAGACAAGAACTTTGATATGACAACACGATTTGAGACTTTACACATACAGCGGTACATAGCATTGAGCAGATAGTGTACTGTTTTATTTTATTAATTTATTTTTCTGTTTGTGTCGATTGTCTTTGTATATATCCTTATTTTAATGCTCTGACCGTATCCCTGATAAGAACGGTTTTGTTTGTAATGTTGGATGTACAACACTGTTCTGTTAATGACGAAAGTAAGAAATAAAGATATCCTGTTAATAAGTTTTGAGCTGAAGACAGGTTCTCCCTCTTTTAGGATCATTTTACATTAGTTGTGGTCATTTTAAATATATGATATTGTATAACATACAGTATATTAGAGTTATAAAGATGTGAAACACAAATATTACTTGTGAAAAGCCAGAAGTTTATATGATTAAGATTCACGGAGACGTTTACATAACCTTCACGAAGGAACAGTGACTTTGAAATTATGTTTTTCAATTACCTGGGAAAAGGTAGGGCTCGTCCGGGATTTGAACCCGGGACCTCTCGCACCCTAAGCGAGAATCATACCCCTAGACCAACGAGCCACATGCTAGAAGTCTTTTCCGTACTATGTGAAGGTAAAAGATTGCCACGTTGGTCTTGTACTGTCTCTGGTGATTGTTTCCAGACTTTTTCATATGTTCCTCTTCTTGTCGGTTGGTGCCATCTGCAGGGCAGCCGTGGTACTACAGACACATTGACTAAAAGCTGCAACTGTCCTCTGCAGATCTTCAGCCTCACATACACAGTGCATGCATCATCAGCTCAGCAGTTTTTTTTCTTCTAGGTCTGTATGCAAGTCATTCTTCCTGCTGTTTTAGATGATATGGATCAAATTTTCTATCACAGTGTATAAAATGTTATGTAGGAACTTGTAAATTATGTTTTGGGAATGTGTCAAGTTCCTGATTGATTGAGCGAATTAAACACCTGACAAGTCAAAGTACTTCTTCACATTGATGCATATATTCTGAAAATTCAGTACTGCCACCAATCAGTCCTACTCAGTATTTGACAGTATTGTAAGTAAATGTCCAATATAATCATAGTATGGGAATACTGTATTTCAGTTGGTAACTCTTTTCACAGTACTGTACACTATGCACTGCCAAATTAAACACCATCAGAGCTTTGAGGGCTGTTGGTCCAGATGCCTGCCCAATCTGTGATCCACCCATGGTCTCACAAATCGACATTTTATTGCATTTTCTATTCACACCATCAAAGAGAAAGCCATCTGCTTATAAAAATACAACACACTGGTTTATACTGCAATTTTGGAAATACATATATCCCCAAATGTCAAGAAACAATACACATTTCCATATGATGCTCACATATGCAGTATATTACTCCCTGTTTCACTCTCTCCCATGTCTTAAACATACAGTTAACAACAAGAAAAGGCAACATGCAGGTGATAGCAGCACATTTAAAACACAGTCAGAGAACATTCAACACATGTCGAGACACGCTGTGACATTTAGTTCTGGACCTCACAAAAAGACAAAGATGACCATTTTAGAGGTAGTGCTAAGAATGAATAGACCATAGAATGAAAAGGTGATAAAATGAAATACATTTTAAGCTGCGTCTGATTGAGACACAGACTGAGTTTCTTGCTGTTTACTGATGTGAGGAAATCAAACTAGACTGTAGAATTACAGTCTTTGGTTTAAGAGGCTTTTCCTGTTATATGTCCAGCTTCTGACCACTAGAGGTGAACTGTGTTGCATTACAGCCTCTGAACCTTGATCACTGGCATGGAGAACGCTTCACTGTTAAGTCAGCTGTGCAGAGAAGGCAGGCGCATAAAAAAAAAAACTTCAGTAAACACGGCTTTTCTGTGGAAGAACCTGTTCCTACATCCACAAATGCTACTGCCACATGTGTGCATATACAGGGGATTGGATTCTCTCATACACAGAATTTAAAGTGCATTTCCTCTGATCATCGGAGCTACAATCTGAATCCTTTTCTTTCTTACACAAATACTGTCTGTGTTCATTACAGTGCTGCTGTGACCAAGCAACAAATTTTTATTTTTTCTTCTATAATTTACATTTTACAAGGCCCATTCTGTACTGAGCTACTTCCATAAGCTCAAACATATCTTCTGCAGATACATGTTTGACAACAACCGGTCATGTTTATAGTCTGACCAGGGGACGTCAAACAGCCCAGTCACATAATTAGAGTATATGAGGTGACAGAAACAGAACCAGCAAAAACACTGGTTCTGTCTGTGGGCGCCTGGTTTATGGTGCACAGATATTACCATATCAAAAATTATCTTATGAATAACAGTGGTAACAATAATGTGCAAATTATAAAAATGAAGTGAGTTTGTTTAAATCTTACTTTTGGTTATTCCTTTATAAACTGAACATCAGAAATTATTCAAACGGACAAAACACCGGAGACAGGCTGACGCTACTGTGTGGACTTTTAAAGCAGTTTGTTTGAGAGATGTAAAATGTCTTTTAAAAAAGGCGTGTGGAGGGTTGGTTGGGATGTTGGAGGGTGGGGGATCCAGAGCGAGTGGTGGCGTTAAATGGGGGGGTGGAACGTGATGGTGGAGTTATAGAACCTTCTGGAGGATGGCGTTGGGCACTTCCAGAGTCTCGTCTTTCACCAGGACGATGTCATAAGAGTCCAGATATTTGTCCAATCGCTCTTCCACCTGTAGAGTGAGAAAATGACAGGACAACTTTTAGTTCATTTCATGCATATCCCAGCAGCCACAGCTGCTGTGGAGATCCAGTGGAAAACAGCAGTGCACAAACAAACTTTCAATTTTCAAATGCTACATTTTCCTTTTGCTGTAATTGTAAACCAACAAAGACACATGTACAGTCACATTTTCATGACATAATCTTAACCGTTAACCTCTTAAAATCACGTCAAGACTCAAACTCTTCCTGAAAGTTGCACAAATCTGCTGTGAACCAAAAACAATGTGAGATATCATGAAGGTGTACATGTGCTAAATGAGAGAGAGAGAGAGAGGCTCTGTACCGGAGACAAATTCCCTCTGTGTTTAAACATACTTGGCCAAATAAACATGATTCTGATCATGAAACAGGCAACAGCCAAACTCAGTGATGGTGTCCTGGCAGCCACAAATACAAACACTGCTATTTGACTGATCTGAGTGCAGCTCAAACATCACCCTCTCTCCATCAAGCCAGTTTGTCAACTCAGTGTTCAAAGATGTTGTTTCAACATCCATGGTTGTGTGTCATGACTGTACCCTGTCGTTGAGGAAGCCAATCTTGAGGGTGTTTTCCTTGTTGGATACACCGTCGGCCATGCTGAGGTCCCCCAGCGAGTCGCCCATCAGGATGACGTTAGAGTACTCTTTCAGCTGTTTGAAGTACTCCGTGTTCCGCAGAGCGCCATCATGTTTGTTGTACACGTGGATCAGATCACCTTTGAATCCCCTCAGAACACCCTACAAGACAAATAAAACAGCCAATGAGCAACATGAGCCAGTGTATTTCTATGACCATGAAGCTGAACTGTAGCGGCATAAGGACGGAGGACAGAACAAAACTGGTTTTCCCACAGGACTCACATTGTCATCAAAGTCCATGAAGTTGGAGACGACCTTGATGTTGGGATGATACACTCCGGCCTGCCGGATGATTTCCTCCAGGACATCTCCCAGGCCAGCGGAGAAGATGAAGACGGGCACATTGTGCTGCTGTAGCCGGTCAAAGAACTGCTCAAAGCCTTCCCTGAAGCCCAACACGGAGAGGTACAAGTCAGTGGCAGAGAAATAAGACAGTTCGTTCCCTCTGCCATTGGTTAAAACTGCACACAAATACCTGAGTGCAACGTCAGACTCTCTCACCACCTCTGGCAGTTTGTCTCTTTCTAGCCTCTGCTCCACCAGTAGTGTGTGGGACTTGAAATACCTGCATGCAAACACACACGCCACACACTCACCTCGGGGAAAAGCATGACAGAGCAGAAACATGGCACCGTGTGCTTGTTGTATGCAACAGAGTGAGTGTTGTTTCACGTGCGACCTACCACTCCACCATGAATGGGTATTTCTCCTCCATGGTGAGGTGCGGGTCAATCTCAATGGGATAATATTTATTCTTTAGCTGCAGCAGCTTCTGCCTACACTCATCTGTCACCAGCTTGCAGTTATCAATGATATCTGCTCAGAAAAACAGAATTCCACAAACATACCGCATGTTTTAAACAGGCGAGAAGAACCTGCTGAAACTGGAAAATCAAGAATTAAGATAAAAATTTGAAGTATCTCATATAAATTTCTTGTACTTACTGTGACATGTGGGATAGCGTTTGCCGTTGACGGCGAACTTGCTTATCGTCATGTCAAAGTCTGTGATAATCTGAAACAGTCAAGAATAGTTTGCTCACTACAACCAGAGGAATTGTTCAATTTGAAGTCACTATCCATTATAAACCTCTAATTCTTAACAAGTGGCCTAGCAAAGGGAGCAAAAGAGGCCCAAATTCAAAGCAGGGTTTATGCTGGTTGTGTTTGGACTGAAGATTATCAACTGAGGTTTACTTACATTGTTTGACATCGACAATTCAAAATGATCAGCTGATAAGTTTTTTCCAGTTACTATTGGATTGTGGGTTCAAGTACCACCAGATGGCGCCATATCACACAAGAGACCAATCAGGCCTCATCAGGACTTCATGTAGTACCTGTAGTTTGGAAGCTCCTCCTTTGATGAGGCCACAGATGATCTGCTCCACCCTCTCAGGGTCCCTCATGTGGACTGTGGACTTCTCGAACTGAGGCATCTGGAGAGAGACAGAGGGGTGATTTGGTTCAAATGATGTGAGATTCAAAGGTTCTCCTGACACAGACTTGGCAAACAGGAAAACACTAAGAC